ATAATAAGAATGTATCTGATGTTTTAGTTATAAGTAATTTGTTAAACAATTATTTTATAAACTGTATAAAAGATCTTCAAACAAAACCAGATATAGAACCTAGTGTACAGAAAAATAGTCTTTCAAGTAGTTTCTCTCCTCATAATCAGACTTTTCGCTGTGAGCCCACAGATGAAAACGAAATTATTAAAATATTAGATTCTTTAAAAAATAAGCAATCATATGGGTTTGATGAAATTCCTGTAACTATAATAAAATCTGCAAAAATACACCTATGTAAAATCTTAGTTCATCTGGTTAACTCTTCTTTAATATCTGGCATTTTTCCAAAAAAATTAAAAATATCCAAAGTTGTACCTATACATAAAAAAGATTCTACAAAAGACATGTCCAATTATCGTCCAATTTCGATTCTGCCATCCTTTTCAAAAATTTATGAAAAAGTTGTGTACAGAAGATTATCCCAATTCTTAGAAAATTCAAACATTCTAGATATGTCCCAGCACGGTTTTCGGCCCGGAAAATCGGTTTTCACTGCAGCCGTTTCTTTTATTGAATCCATCATAGAGTCCATAGATAAAGGGGAGAACGTAGTGGGCATATTTATGGATTTAACAAAAGCTTTTGAAAGCGTAAATCATCATCTATTACTTGATAAATTATTGAACTTTGGTGTCAAGGGAGTTGCATACAATTGGTTTAAGTCATACCTTTCCGACCGATATCAGTATGTTGAAATTAACCAAACCATTTCAAATAGGATCACGGGCGCAGCATCGGACTTATGTTTGGTCTCATGTGGCGTCCCACAGGGATCGATTCTGGGTCCTTTGCTGTTCTTATGTTACATAACCGGACTTCCTGAAGTGCTACAGACTGTTCCCCATAGTAATTTATGTTTATATGCAGACGACGCAAATTTAAAAATCTCAGCAAAGAACCAAAATGAAATTGAATATTTAAGTTTTATAGAACTAGCTAATATAAAGCAATACTTCAATAATAATAGTCTTTTGTTAAATCCAAATAAAACTAAATTTATTACATTTTCCACAAAGCAAAATCGTAAAAAAATATCTCCAAATATAATGATTGAAGATGAAATTATTGAACAAGTGAATGAGGCTAAATTTTTAGGTCTATATATTGATGAAAACCTATGCTGGGACAAACATGTCGAACATATATCAAGAAAAATTAACTCCGGTTTATTCGCCTTAAGGCGTATGGCCAGCCTATGCTCATTGCCTGTACTAAAACAAATATATTTTGCTCTGATTCACTCTAATATTTCTTATGGAATTGGCTTGTATGGTGCAACAACAATAAATAATCTGAATACAATTCTAAACCTACAGAAAAAAGCAATTAGATGTATGCTCAAACTTGAAGATGATGACTCCGCAAGAGAACACTTCAAAAATCTTAAAATTTTAACTGTGTATGGTCTGTATATTTTTGAATGTATCTTATTTTTTATAACAAAAACTTATGTACAACCAATAGTTCATCAATATAATACAAGAAGACAGACCGAAAAACATTTTGAAAAACATAGATTGGAATTTTTTAAAAAAAAGACGACATACATTGGCAATAAATTCTTTAAAGCACTTCCGAATGAACTAAGATCAGAAAAAAACAATAACAAACTAAAATGTAAATTGAAAATATATTTGATCAACAAACCCATGTACTCAATAGAGGAATTTTATGAATACAACAAAATTATGAAGCAGTAGTGATAGTTTTTTTTTTTTTTTAATTTATAATTGTATTGTTTTTTTAGTTTTATATTTGACGCCATTTCTTGTAATGACATGTACAAGGACAAATAAAGTGATTTGATTGATTGATTGATTGATTGATTACTCGATACATTGTAGCATAGACTAACCAACACAAGTAGACTTCTCATCCCATTGTAAATTTTGAAGCACGTTTTTCGTGTCTAGTTCATGTACGTGACACAAAGGCGCTAGTGTCGACAAAACTTTGTTTCTATTATTTTAGGGTTAATTTCTTGATTTGTTCTTTACTGTTTGGTTATATAACTAAGGGACAAGTTATTGTTTATGATTAGACCGTATTATTTGGTTAAACGAGGTTTTAAATGGCTGTAATAACGGGAAACAAATTGTAAACAAAACACGACCTCTACAGAAAACCGTACAGAACTAACAATAAAATTGGCTTCAGCTGTTCCATAAGGATGGGAAATCTACTAAGGGAGTATGTTTTATCTATGATTGTAGTCAAGGGCAGCAGTGCGAAGTCTGGGATCTGTTTATGACGATTAGATTAAGGTATCTGCAATCCTAAAATGCCATAGGAAGGGAAGGAAACAGGTCCGCGACATAGGAAGTGGTGAAGGAAGTAATAAAGGCAATCATAAAATGCTATGGGAATAGAGGGAAACAGGTCCGTGACATAGGAAGTGATGAAGGAAGGAGTAAAGGCGAGCAGTTTGGAGTGTGGGGACTGTTTATGACGATAAGATTAGGGTATCTGCAATCCTAAAATGCTATGGGAAGGAAGGAATACAGGTCAGCGACGTAGGAAGTGGTGAAGGAAGTAGTCAAGGCGAGTAGTCCGGAGTGTGAGAACTGTTTATGACGATTACATTAAGGTATCTGCAATCTTAAAATGATATGGGAAGGAAGGAAAACAGGTCCGCGACATAGGAAGTGGTGAAGGAAGTAGTCAAGGCGAGCTGTTGGAGTGTGGAAACTGTTTATGACGATTATATAAGGGTATGGGCAATCCTAAAATGCTATGGGAAGGGAGGGAAACAGGTCCGCGACGTAGGAAGTGGTGAAGGAAGTAGTCAAGGCGAGCTGTCCGGAGTGAGGGAACTGTTTATGGCGATTAGATAAGAGTATGGCCAATCCTAAAATGCTATGGGAAGGGAGGGAAACAGGTCCGTGACGTAGGAAGTGGTGATGGAAGTAGTCAAGGCGAGCTGTCTGGAGCGTGGGAACTGTTTATGATGATTAGATTAAGGTATTTGCAATCCTAAAATGCTATGGAAAGGGAGGAAAACAGGTCCGCGACGTAGGAAGTGGTGAAGGAAGTAGTCTAGGCGAGTTGTCCGGAGTGTTGGAACTGTTTATGACGATTATATTAAGGTATCAGCAAACCTAAAATGCTATGGGAAGGGAGGAAAACAGGTCCGCGACGTAGGAAGTGATGAAGGAAGTAGTCAAGGTGAGCTGTCCGGAGTGTGGGAACTGTTTATGACGATTAGATTAAGGTATTTGCAATCCTAAAATGCTATAGGAAGGGAGGGAAACAGGTCCGCGACGTAGGAAGTGGTGAAGGAAGTAGTCAAGGCGAGTAGTCCGGAGTGTGGGAACTGTTTATGACGATTAGATTAAGGTATCTGCAATCTTTAGATGCAATGGGAATGGAAACAGGTAAATGACGTAGGAAATGGTGTAGGGCGTAGTAAAGGCGAGCCGTGTGGAGTTTTGGAATGGATTTATGTATCTCCAATACTAAGGTGCATTCAGAGTGAACTAATGATTTTTCCCGAGCAAAGCTCGGTCCCCAGGTACTAAATCACTTAAACAACAACTACAATGATAAAGAAACAAAAAAAGCAAGTACGGTAACAGTATAATAATCTCAACAGCAGCTAAGCGTAGAAACTCTTCAGCCCATTTCTAAAAACTTCATCAGACATGGAGAAGAAGTCCAGGTGGTCAGGAAGACAGTTTCCAAGGTGATGGAGACGTGGCATAGTGCTGTGGTACGCATATTGTGTAGAGCAATATTTCCTCTCAAACAGTTGTTTAGATCTTGTCGATTTCAACGCTCGTAGGTCGATTCTTCCCAACAATTCAGGTGAGTCCACTGAAGCTGAGATTATCTTCTTCAGAAACATTAGATCGGAGACTTTACGCCTGATTGACAAGTGTTGAAGACGAAGGAGGTGGCTTAGCTCGTCCAAGGGTACATCTTCATAACGAAAGCCCAGCTGCAGTCCAACAATTCGAATGAATCGTATTTGAATTCCCTCAAGAAGTTCTATGTGGCCCAGCTGATACGGTGACCACACTGGAGAACAGTACTCAAGGATAGGGCGGATAAGTTGAACATTAAGAGTCCTTAGTGCTTCTGGTGAGAAACCGTCCTTAGACACTCTAAAGGCCCGTTCACACGGGGCGAGTTTACAAGCTACACGCCAGCGTGTAAGAAGCCGGCGAGTTGGCGAGTGCGCTTGTATTCGTTCACACGGAGCTTGTCCACTCGCCAACTCGCAGACGTGTAGAAAGACGCCGGCGAGTCGGCGAGTGCGCTTGTAGTCGTTCACACGACGCTTTTTCCACTCGCTCAGTAGCTGGCTTGAACCAAATCCTCCAACATCTTTGAGTAACAAGCGCACAAGCACAAGCAACTGTGTTCACACTGGGCTACTTTACACGCCTACTCGCTCAAAAGCTGGCGAGTTGGCGTGTAAAGTAGCGGCAGCGTCAACTTTTTCCAGAACTTTTTTACAAGCAGCTTTTGAGCGAGTACGTCGTTCACACTGAGCTATTTTACTAGCTGCGTGTAAAAAAGCCGGCGTGTAGCTTGTAAACTCGCCCCGTGTGAACGGGGCTTAATAATAAAACCAAGAACAGAGTTTGCTCTTCTACTAATGGCATCAAGGTGAGCATCGGGACTTAGTGACAATGTTAAAGTCACACCAAGGTCTTTAACAACAACAGATGATCTGGAAAGGGATTTTCCTCCAAGAGTATAACCATGCATCTTGGTATTTTCCCGTCGTGAGAAGGAGGGCACTGTGCATTTGGAGATGTTGAGCTCCATTTCATTCTTGAGGCACCACAATAATATTTGGTCAAGGTCGGCTTGAAGCATAATCACAATCATGCTCCAACAAAATTTCCTTGTATATTTTTGTGTATATTTTTTGTTTTGTTAATTCTGGCTAAGTACCTAACTTAAATGATTGATTTAACAGTGGAAAAAATCTATAATAAAGACTAACTCACCCAATCCTTCAATGGAGCGTTCCCATGACATGATGGGTTGATGTTTGGCTCTCGCTGGACATTTAGACCAATCGCATGGGATGACCCACAGGAATACTGTGATGACTGTAATACACAGTAAGACGGAAAAGACAAACGCAGCTCTTCGCAATGGGGACATAGGTTTCTTGTAGTAGACAGGTGGTTTGTTTCGGGATGTTGCACTAGCGTTGACGTGACCATCGTCAGATCTCAACGGCTGATAGTCTCCCATTTTAAGAAAAGGCGAATCTGAAAAAGATTTACAAATCTACCAACTGTTTTTTATGATATATGTTCAACTCTTTATGACAAAATTAAAAGTTCATGTTTAGACTTAGTCAAGTTTGAACAAGTAAGGGATTATAAGCCCAAACTTATAGTGCTTAAGGGTAAGTAATGAACCTGGGTACACCTCCATATCTGTTGGCACAAACAACCGAATGAGTAAGATCGATTATTCAATATATCGTTTGGTTAGTTAGGTAAGGTTAACCTAACCTAACTAACCAAACAATATATCGAATTAAACAATCGAATAATCAATATTAGGTACTCATTCGGTTGTTTGTGCCAACAGATATGGCAGTATACCCATGAACCTTTACCATCTGATAGTTAAGTCATGTTTTATTTTACAAGTTAAATGAGGGGAAAAGGACAAACTTCTGAGTTGGCTGTTATTGTTTGCATGGTGAGTAGTCAGTACTGTAGGGGCTTTTAGTTATATCTACCAGGTAGCATACAGGGGTCTATTATGGAGTTAGTCTACACATCATTTTTGGTGAAGTTATGAAGTCCCAACTGATAAAATATTACTTGGTAAAACAACTAAAATAGGGTGGAAGATGCACTACTTACAAGCTTTACAAATCTGCGAATGTTTACAAAATAATACAGTAGCTTATTATTATTTAGTTCTACTAGGCCTACGCCATGATAACTTTATTTAACTGCCCAATTTGTTGCATTAAATTTTTTTCTGAAATCGAAATATTGGCATAAATTAAGTCATTCAACATAATAATTGGATAAGTAAAACAAATTTAAAGATAAACATATACATTTCATGAATTCCAAATCTTACTGACACTGACAGACGACATTCAGACTTCAGTTCAGTCCAGTCAGAGCAGAGATTGTGTTGGTGTTGTCTGTTCTGTTCTCTGTTGTGACTGTGACATTCTAAACAGCTGTTAAACAGTGAAAATCAATAGTCATAGAGTAACAATTACAAATCAGTTATGCGATTGACTATAGAACTATGAAAACTATAAAGAAGCTATCATGGTGGATGGTCTAAGCTAAGGAAGTATGTTTTATCTATGGTCTAAGTGAATATGTTAGTGAATACCAAGCAAGCAACTTAACACTATGACTAGAATATTCTACTAAGTCGGGGTTCAAGGAGAAGATCATGCTTTGAGTTTTCTCTATGCATTCATAAACAAAATATTTGACTTATACCACTCATTGGCTTATACCACTTAAGATCAATCATATAGATTTGGCCATAAACCTTAGTAATTTACGGGACTGCCTCAATCATACTCATACTGAATATTCTACACGCTGTATATTAACATTATAATAGCTCAAAGTTGATGCGATGGGCTTAGGAAAAAGATTGTGCACTCTTTCCTGACGCGAGTTCCTATCAACCATAGATTTGGCCTTAAAGCTTCGTAATTTACGGGACTGCCTCGATCATATTTATACTGATTATTCTGCACATTGTATATTACCATTAGAATAGTTCAAAGTTGATGTGATGGGCTTAGGAAAAAGATCATGTTAGGAGTGTTTTAATTGAACGCGTTTTGTTAAGCCATGGCCATAGCTACGTATGATGTACAATACTGCCTTAAATATGGCTAGTTAATAGATTAATTAATTATTTTAAATGTGTATACACGTTTCATCAAGGTATTATTGACATTATATACATGTAAAAACATTATTTCGTGCCGTATCGTCATTGAATTGGTTTTCCGACTTCCCCGCAAAGCTGAATTTTTATTTCAGGATTAATTTTGCCAACAGTGTCATTTGGAGGCTTCTGATTGGCTAAGGGAACACCTTACCGGAACGATACAATTTATCGCCATCGGCCTCGGTGGCATAGTGGATACTGGATAGAGTGCTGGCATAGATAAAACATACTCCCTTAGTAGATTTCTCATCCTTATGGAACAGCTGAAGACAATTTTATTGTTAGTTCTGTACGGTTTATGTAAGAGGTCGTGTTTTGTTTACAATTTGTTTCCCGTTATTACAGCCATTTAAAACCTCGTTTAACCAAATAACACGATCTAATCATAAACAATAACTTGTCCCCTAGTTATATAACCAAACAGTAAAGCACAAATCAAGAAATTAACCCTAAAATAATAGAAACAAAGTTTCTTCGACACTAGCGCCGTTGTGTCACGTACATGAACTAGACACGAAAAACGTGCTTCAAAATTTGCAATGGGATGAGAAGTCTACTTGTGTTGGTTAGTCTATGGTGCTGGGCTGATAAACGGAAAGGTCGGGTTCGAATCCCTCCAATAAGTCTAAATTTTTGACTAGGATTTTTTCGTTAACAGCAAGTTTGGTTGGTTTGGCTAGGTTATGACATTTTAATTTTATAATTAAAAAATTAATTATAAAATTGAATTTGAGCCATTTTTAGTTTTATTTTAATAGCAGAACTATTTTTTTCGATTAGGCCTTTCGATTTTTCATTATCAGCAAGTCGATGGTTAGTTTGGTTAGGTTATGGCAGTTTAATTTTATAATTAAAATAATATAAAATTTAATTTGAAGCATTTATAATTTTGTTTATTGAACAGAACTAATTTTTCGATTAGTAAACCTTCATTATAGTCAATCAGAAGCTTCCAAATGACACTGTTGGCAAAATGAGTCCTGAAAAACAAATCATGCCCCCGCAAAAAGCGTTTGGGGCGTCCGCAGGCGTACCGACCCGGGAATGGGCACACGGAAGGGACTAAGGCTAAAGGTGTAGTGACGTCATATATCTAGTGGCTAATGTCTTCTCTTGAGGCGACACGATTACCGTAACGAAACGATGTGATTTCAGCGGCGTTCGTGGCATAGTTGGTAGCGATTCGGATTGGTGTTCAGGAGGTCCCGGGTTCGAATCCTTCTGGCAGCTATAACTTTTTGTCAACAAATTTTTCATATCAGCAAGTTTGGTTGGTTAGGTTAGGTTATGACAGTTTAATTTTATAATACTAAATTTTAAAATTAATTTTATAATTAATTAAAAATTATAAGTAATTATTAATTAGATTTTTATCTTATATAGTTATTAAATTATCAGCAAGTCTGGTTGGTTAGGTTATGTTAAGACAGTTTAATTTTAAAAATTAAAAATTATTTTATAATTTGAAACAATATTTTATAGTTAAAAAGTTAATTTTATAACTAAAAATTAAAAAAAAATTAAATTATTTCAACTTAACAGTTCTAGCGGCGAACGCTGACACTACAAGATATGTTAGCCTTAGTCCCTCCCGTGTGCCCCACCGTACCAACCCGTATCTATTACAATTTGAAAAAAAAGCGCCGATGAGGATGAAAACGACCGACGGTCTCTGCTCTGCCACGGCCGCCTTTAACTGGCTCTGCACTCTGCAGTAGTACTGCACTGCACTCACACTGACTCTGTATTCTATAATGAATGTCAAAATGTCAAGTTGTTGTTTGTTGTTAGGTTAGGTAGGAAGTACCGAAGTAACTAATCTTTTAGGTTGTTTTAACATCAATTTAATCATAGGGTCGTGGTGTGCACGTTTATGATACCGTGGATATAAGAAAATCTTTAAAATGTCCGGGGTAAATCTGATTAATGCTGTCTGCGATCGTATAAAATTGGACAAAGAAAAACTTGAACGTAAGTAACCTAGACCTAGGCCTACATAACTTTAAAACCTTGATTTGAAAATTGACTTGGACCTTCTTTCTAAAGTTTAAATGAATCCCTAGAAAACCATTTACACAAAAAATAACCTTTATATGATTATGGTCCATTCATAACCTAAAAATCGTAAGTTTAAGCCTTAACTTATGGTTATTTGACTGTATTATTATAAATTGTCTGTTTAACGTCCTCTTTTGTAGCTGCAGTTCCGTATAGAGACCCTGACGACTGACGGTTTATTATCTGATGAATAACGATATATATCGAAACTTGTTCGGTTAGATATATCGATTAACTAACCTGTAAATTATAATTTTCTATTATAAACATCGATTTTAAAATTGTTTTGTTTACGTTTTTATTTGTATATTATATTTTAAATATATAACTATAAAAACAAAAACACAATTTATTACCTTATACCTCCTCCTTCGTCTCTTACCCACAAAGTGGAATTGACAGCGTCATTTAACACGGTTATGGTACTAATCAAAAAACATTATTTACAACTAACTTAAGTTGGCCTATTTATAAAGTTTTATATGAAAACTAACAAAAAAATAACCAAAACGTAAATCAACGATAAAAAATTTAAGAAATATTAACTTAGCCTAAGTAACTAACTTTATTCCGATGCTTGTTTGATTTTGAGATTTGATTTTGTATTTCAGTCCCGAACACGGCTCCTCATATTGGTTAGTTGGCAGATTTTGTGACGTAGGTATCGTTTCACCCGGAGCACATGAAAAGAGCCCGAAATTTTAATCCCCAAAAAGGTTCACTAATCTTAAGCATGGAAAGAGCCCGGGTCTCCACAGGTACCTGAGGAGGAGGACGCTGACTATAAATTGTGTGTACTGTATATATAGTAGTGTTTTAGTACCCTAAATAGTGTTGTGTTTGGTTGGGTTAGGTTAGGTTAGGTTAAGTTAGGTTAGGTTAGGTTAGGTAAACAGACTATATCTTAATGTAAATATCTTTGAATAATATATTTTGTATTAATGTATCTTTAAACAGTGTATCTTTTAATATTGTAAATAATTTCATGTATTTCAACTGTGTTATTGGTTCTTCTCCTTTGAAGACACGTTGTGAAAGTTCTAGAGAGAGACCGGGCTCTTTTCGCACCGTCCTGGGTGGGACCTTGGAGGTCCGGGCGCTTTTCAAGCGTCTGCCTGAGTTTTTGGGCTCTTTTCATGTGCGCCCGTTTCATCTGGGGGGGGGGGGATGGTTTTTTGGGGGTAGTATTCAGCATCTCCGTTTTTTGGTCTGCTATGGTTGGTTTAAGTGGAGGGGATAGATTTCTTTTCTTCCCCCCAAAAAACGCCTAAAATTTGCAAGCAAAATTCAACAATATTCAAATCTCTTCCTACATAGTTGGAATGAGTTCACTCATTATGCATAGCCTACCTAATAAACATAAACAACTACAGTACCTACTAAAATATAAACAAATTATACACAGCGATTACATAAGGATAAGACCAACAAGATTGCTGATTATACATGGATAGGCCTACTTTGATACTTAACTTTTGCCATACAACTACATCACTTGCGACTAGCATTTTTATTCCAGTACGGTAACAAGAGTAATGTAATTACGCTACTGGAATTTGATCTGTAATATGATACTTGAATAGTAACTCGCTCGCTATATGAAATGCAAGCTAGAATTAATATAAACGTTCCTTTATACTATGAGTTTGGGCCAGACCTTCACCATATCAGCATCAAGACATCTGGCATTCTCGAAATGATCTGCTCTGCAAAACACTGTCTGAGCATGCATGCGGATCCATGCCTGCTAGATCCAGTAATTTATTAGAGTACTTCTGTACTGTTTATTCTGTCCCTCATTCCCCTTATTTACCATCTTCGCTTTACGGGAAGAATGAGCGTACGCCTAGTACTATTGATTCAAGATTTTTTATTTGGTCATTGAACATGAAATACAGTAATATCATAGACCATGTCAGATCATTAAGTAAGGCTACATATAAAAATATCACAATAAAACAGCTAGGCTACATGGTGAATAGACATTTTTAAATTGACTAGATTTAAGTGGGCTATAAATACTAGCTGTACTTAAGCTTTAAATACTAGAAATAAGGGAAATAAGAACAAATAGATTACTAGAAATAAACGATAAACATGTGAAACACTTTTAGCCTACAGTATTTTAACAGAAAACTGATTTTAATTAGGATGAAAGTACATACAAAAATCTTGGATATTATAAAATAGCCTGGATACTAAAACCTGCAAAGAGTACTTTTATATCTGCTTTGTCGAGCATTTTCTGATAGCCTATTTAAACACTTTTATACTTATACTGTCCAACCGACTATAGTGAGATTCTAAGTTACAAGAGATGAAACCGTTTATGAAAATAGATTTTGATTGCCTCTGCTACTTTTAGTAATAGTTGATTGATTAAGTTAGATTGATGGTACAGGTAACTCACTCTGTAGGCTACATGACAAGATAATACAATTGACAAATTTAATTAACAGTAAATAAATAGTTTTTTCACCTAGCCTAACAATAACTTCCGTCTCAAATCAAACAAACATAATATCTGAAAGGTAAATGAGTATTGCCTTGGAATGAGTATTCCATGTGCAACTTGCACATGTGTCCCGTCCAGGTTAGATTAATTTAGGGGGATGTTTAACGATTTAACTTGTGTTGAATTATTTCATAGGCTGCCATAAATTAATTTGTCAATACAGTGGAGTCCCGATAATCCGAACTTCGGTAATCCAAAAGTCCGCTTTAATCCAAAACCAAAAATTTAAATTTAATTATTTAATTATTTTTTTTTACTTTTAACACAGTTAGCTGTACCTGGTCAAAGTATTCTGTAGCGGCTGGGCGAGATAGACTTTTTTATAGAGTATTTTTAGTAAATATTTCGCCCTTTTTTTAATTACCATAACTTTTTTTAATTTTTGACTCGGGTTCCAATCTTGCCAAATCACAAATGGATTTTATTTAAGTGATAATGCTGCAGTCCCTAAGTCTAGCCTAAAGTAATGTGAAAAACAACCCCGAGCTCGTGCCTAGCGTCCCAAGAAACAAAATCCAAAAAAATTTTTTAAATTAAAAAAAACCTTTAATTCATAATAGGCCTATTTGGTACTCCAAAATGGGTCCGGTTCCAACCATTTCGGACTAACGGGACTCTACTTACTGTATTTACATATATTTTTAAGTTGTTCATCATAATTTTAATTAATATAAACTAGGTTTAAAATCATGTGATTCTTTCAGATAATGAACTGGGGAGGATAGAAATAGAGAATTTCTGCCTGTCTGAATTTTGGTCACAATTTGGTAAGTTCTGCTATTGCAAAATCTTTTTAGAGGTTTTTGTAAATCCTTAAGTAGGCTACAATTACAAAATTAGGGATGGGCAACAAATCCAAATTGACCCCCACAAGATGGGAAAAAACTGGAAAACTTATTAAGATTATAAATAGCAATTCACTCTATAACTCTTAAAATTAGTTGGCCCTGTTGTCCTACAAGTAATCTGTTCTTTATAACCCCTCCTAGTTTAGCTAACAAAGATTCATAGTTTAACGTAGCTATTTCTGAGATCTATTGTCGTACCGGTAACACTAAAGCTCTGGGAGCAAGCTGGTCTACAGTACTGTTTGAGCACAAGACTGTACAGGGTGTTCATAAAGGGGTGTCACAAAATTGAGGGGCTGATAGTTTTCATCAATCTAATCAAAAAAGTTCATATAGGCCTAAATATAGGACAAAAAAATTTTATTTAGCAGCTAGGCGGTTTTTATTTTTTACAAAACAATTTAAATACCTCAATATTACAATTTTTTGTTGTAAAAAATGGGGTAGAATAAGGCTAAGCTAGAATGGTTTGCCTTATTTTAAAACTAAAAATCCTGATATTTCAGCTCTTCTTGTTCGATATTTTTCTACTTGGTTTCATTTGATAGGAGAAAACACGTTTGAAAATGCTAAATAAAAGTGTTCTTGTCATTTTTTCATAAAACCAGCCACGCTTTAGTAGGTAATTTAAGTTTAACGATTTTAAATGGCTACCATTTTGTTTGAAAGGAAATTAGATAATTTTTTTTTGTAATTGCCTCTTGACACAATAAATGTATGTGCAACGTTTGGTTTCTGTAGCTTAAATAATTCTTGAGATATAAATTGTTTTGTAAAAAATACAAAATGGCAGCTAGCAGCTAAACCATTTTTTTACTTATGTTTATGACTGTGAACTTTTTTGTTTAGATTGATGAGTACTATCAGCCCCTGAAGTTTGTGACACCCATTTATGAACACCCTGTATGTCCTCAAGGTCCCTGAAACCCCGCCTATCTATCACCAATTGACTTTATCTAAATGATATTGCCGCAACCCCCAGTACAGCCACATACTTAGTGCTTGTGATTTTTTACTAGACGAAATATAGCCTACATACGTAGGGTCTATTGTCACTATCTTGATGAAAAAATCAAAGAGTTTAAAACAAACACTAACCATACATTGATTTAAGCTGAGTCACAGTAATAAATAATAGCTTGCCAGATGAGCCCTCAGAAAAGTTGTTAGCTTTTTGATTTTCTCAAACTAGAGTCTGCTGAACTTAAACATTAGGCTTTTAAATTTCTAGAACAAAACTTGCCGCTCATAAAAGAAATCTCGCTTATTAAACCCTTCTAGTGTATTACAACCCCTTCTGCAAACATGACAATTGTTTGTGATAGCAAAAATTATATCGTACAATTGGAGCAACATCGGTGGTGAATTCCAGCAACCTTGAAAAAACCCATGAAGATTTCCCACAATTGCGGACACACCCGTTATGATTTCTCACGATGTCGGACATCCGTGAATGTATCTTAGCGTGGTCGCGGCCACGGTTGTGATAATTACTTGCGGTCACTAAAACGCAAAAATTAAAGCATTGTACTGAGTACCTTACACGATTGAGGAAAAATAAGTGAAAGTTTGTTGCAATCACGGCACTACATGTGATTGCAATTTTGCAATTACGGCATACACGTGATGATATCTTGGGATCGCGACAACATCCGTGATCATCTCAACACCCGTGACTATTTTTGCGATTCTGGCATAATTTGTGATTTTATTTTCAAGAGTTTTTAGCCTCCGGATTACGTTTGAATATTTATAATGGTTTAAATACCTGCATTCAGTAATCCAAACTGCTGCTTGTGGCAACTATAGTTTCGCTTCAGCTAGGAACCATCTTCAGGCCATACGTTATTTACAAGGTGTCGCTTATGAAGGTTGTCATTTAAAATATAAGTACATAAAACACACACGATCACGCACACTGATTGACGAACATTTAACATTTAAAAACAACCGAGTCCTCAGGGACACAAGACAGGTGATTTTCAACTACACAAAATGAGAAATAACCTGTAATTTTGGGCAGGTTTTTCCGCTACTATTCAAACATTTAAATGTTTTTGGTTCTTACGCAATGTACCATTTACAGACTTTTGAAACAACTGTTTCTTCTTCTCTGCAACTTTAGTTACAAAGAGTTTGTCCATACACAAGTGAGTTATCATGTTTTAATGATAACGGTTGGTTAAAAAAAAACTTCCTTAAATGTTGGTTTTAAACATTTGAAGAATTAAACCTAGTTTAAGTGAAAGTTTTTCTTAACAGGAGCTGCAGTACAATCGTTGAATAATCAAGTTACAAAAATAGGCTTCATATGTGGTAAAAAGCCGTTCCCATCAAAGGTTGATCTGGACTCCATGCTGCAGACAATGTCCCAACATTACAACATGGTGAAAGAATTTTTCATGGTGCTACCACCAGATGTAAGTTCAGTGCGATGTCAGTACGCCAAAAGTTAATTTTCAGCTATTAATTTTGGTTTCACTTTATTGTCTGTAAAGTTTGAGTTATTTTTATGTATTTTTCAAAAGAATTTTTTGCTCTTTAAATAGCCATATGTTTTTTTATTACAGTTTTTTTTTTTATTTCAGGCTTTTTATTTCAGTAAGTTAATACTGTTAATACTGTTCGATGAAATGGCGACCATACATAGTAGGTATTTTAAGCCAAGTATGAATGGAGATGAGTGTAGGATGAATGGCGCAATCTTGTAGTCTTGTTAGTGACTAAGGCCGACATTCTTTAGACACAGCTGTTAATTAATAGCCCATACAGCTAATGGCAACTAAGAGACCTACAGTTTATAGTGGAATCCGAACCACATTTTTTCCTTGGTATATACAAATTGGTCTAATTATCAGGATAGTACTGCGGATAGTCGTAGTACTCACTCGTGCGGACGTTCATCCATACCAGGGAGTATCACATCCACAGTGCATGCCTATAAATATCCACAATTCGTGACCTCCTAGTAGCTGGATTACAGGACGACGCCACCCGTCCCAGTCATACAAGTAATACAACACATAATCAAATAAAATATACGCTTCAACATGAATGTAATATGTTTTACAGTGTCTAGAAAAGAACAGTGAAGAAGTGTCTCTGAACAGGTTTATCCATTTAAAGTTAAACTGAGCATTCCTACAAATCATTCTCTGCATTCTTCAACTTATTGTCTAAACAAGATCCTCGACTATGGGTAAAAGCTACATACCATTCCTAAGTTCAGTCTGTAGCCAGTTATAGAATAAAAACTGAAACAACTGATTTCTGTGGTAGAAACAAACTAAAAACTAGTTAACAAAAAAAAATAAACTTACCTATAAACTTAAATAAACCTAAACCTAATTGTTAGCTTGTGTTTTTATAAAAAACCAGTTATAAAAAATTAGGAGATAAAATACAGTTTTAGCAGCAGAACTTTTTTGTGTGGTTCTTTTAACAATTTCTTTTTGAATAATAACCTGGCTGGTCATGTAGTTGGTCTTTAAAGATGAATAAATTTAAAGGTGAGTTGTATACTTTTGTATTAAAAGTCAATGCTTTGATGTTCAATGTGGATTAGTTAGGCCTATCTTTGGATGATTGATCTAGGACAGTAATAGAATAAGCAATCAGGGAAGTTTGTTTATTTACCTAGCTAAAACTTAGCCTTTTCAGAGATATGTATATAAAAAACCTTTGACATTTTTTACAATACGAATTTGTAATTTCAGGAGGGAGCTGTTTTATACAAAGCTGTAACATCGTCTCTGGTTTCCATTATGTCTTCCTTGTTTGACTTTGTAAAATCGTTACACAATCTAACAGAAAAAGGGTGAGTACAGTGTTATTTTTGTATTTGAGTACAATAACAATAACCTGATAATGATACAGCTGACACACCTGATAATAAATGATCACAATCTTTGCTCTTCAACCTCCATTATCTATTTATTCCTATACTTGATTGTTGAGCTTTAATTATTTAAATTAATGATCTGGGCTAGAGAAACAGCTGATCTTAGTTACATTGCTATTAGCTCTACAAGTCATCCACTCAATCATGCACTCACTCTTCATTCAGCTTAAAATTCGTACACAGTGATGTGATGCCGCAGTGAAATGAAATGATTAAGGTAGCCTATTTCATTATTTTATTCTTTGATATGTTTCTTGTAGGGATACCAATCAATTGTAGTTTCACTCTGGATTTGTTAAAAACAGAATACAGTGCTAGGCCTACGTCGTTAAGTCGGCTCCCTTTAAGTCGGATCTGTGGTTTAGGATCAATTTCCAATAGATTAACATCCACATAAAGATTATTACAAGATTTGCATTTTGGTGGTGCTTAATGGTTGCTGATATGAGTGCACGAGTGAGCATTGATTGTGCTTTTTCTATTTTTTCGCAACCGATTTTGTTTGACGAGACTAAATGGTGAATCAGTGGTTCAGTCGGTAGCGCCACGAACTTAGGAGACCAAGGCAGTGATGTCGTGGGTTCGGATCCTGGTCTTGCCGCTACTTTTTATACGTACAGTTCACCCTTGTACTGTACCAGCTCACCCCTTGCTTTGCTAGATATGTGCCATAGCCATAGCTTTGGACAGGGAAAAGCAAGATTAAAAGAGGCTGCCAACCTCTTGCAAAAAAACAAAAAAAACTCATCTGACATTGTTTTTTATATTTTTATTGTGGTATGTAAATATTTTTTCTTTTTCTTTTTATCGTTTTTCTCCGGAGTTGGGGAAATTATTGTGAATGTATTAATGATTTTTATTTGCTTTTTGCTATTAGTCTGATTAGTACGGATTTTCATTATGGCAGATTGGCTGTGGTTCCAACTGTACAAACTTAACAAAGACCTTCTAATTTTTAAAGTTTTTTAGTCAAGTTTAACATTATAAGTACCTAGAATAAATATATAGGCAATGGATGATAAGGATTACCTTATTTATAAAATTCATATTTGTTACATCAGTTAGTTAGTATTTCTATATCCTTGCAGTAAAATTCCGATTAATTAAAATAATGAGGGCGAAGCTGTTTTGAATAACCTATTTTTCTGCTAACACTTTCGCTACCGCTCTCCAAATATTTGCGACATGTATCGTCTGCTCCATTTTACTCCCTTGGCCAAGCCGAACCAAGTAACTGTGCCAAACCAGACACTCCACATTGACCAGCTAATTTGAATTTGAATGTTTTTGAATTTATTTCAATTTTGTAATGGGTACGGTTAAGCTGAATTTAGGTTAAACTTTGTGCAGTTAAAAGGGTTTAGCTGTATTTCTGGAGGTAAATGAGAGGTTTTATTTTTAAAAGTAAATATCTGTTGTCAGTTAGGCCTATAAGGCAGAGAAGATCTATCCATCCATTTTAATTTTAGGGCGAAAGACAGACTGACTTTGACCGGTCAGTTCTGGGACGCCTGCAGTGCTGTTGACATCCTTCCCAAGGATAACTTACAAGCCACTCTCCAAGTTTTGGGCAATGAAGTAAACTTAGCCTCAGACGCCAAGGAGGAGTTGGAAACTGTAAGACAATTCTGTTTCCACTAATTTACATATTTTACAACACTTTTTTTGGTCACACTACTCTGTTGAAGTTGACTTGCCTCACTTGGATTTTGTCTAAAAAATTGCCTGCTTAGTCAAATGGGTTTTTATAACTTACATATTATTAAATGTATAGATTTATGAATTTTGCCGGACACCAGCTTATTAATATTATACTGTACTTATTTTTACTTATTGTTTTGTATTAAGCACATGGTCTAATATTTTAATGACAGTGAGTGGTTACATAAACAAAAGCATAATCTCTCACGGAAATACAAATAACTAACCTAACAAGATTTTCAATATACTTAGTTTTATAGAAACAAATCCCTATATAAATACTAAATATATGTCTAATATTCTAGTGACAGTGATTGGTTACTAACCAACAAATAACCTCTCAGACAGATTATTAGTAGGGATTGTTAAGTGTGTATGTCGGTGACATCATTATTTCCAAATTCCAATTATTCTTTTTTTTTAGGTAAAGGTAATATAACAATTGACAAAAAAACTGTACCTGTATAGTAATCCCAGAGAACAACCACACTCATCCGGTAAACACAAAATAATTTCCGGACTAGTAATGTACAGTAGGGGATTATGCAATACAATTGGGGCAGAGTGGTGTTCGGATAATCAATCATTCGGATAGTCAAACCTTAGTGTAAAATGGCATTATTTATTTGTTAAGCGTAGTTAGAATCCATCAATATTGGCATAAAGTTTACAATTTGAGCTACAAACAACATTAACATTAGCGATTATTGTAGAAGCTTTAATTTACTATAATGCAACTGTCATCGTCAGCACAGGTGATATCAACGAGATCTTCGTCATATCTGACCATATCTCAATGATCGTCTTTAGTTACTGTACATAGAGCAATAAACCATAGCACACTCAGCATTGCATATAAGCTCAGTATTGAGCATAGTATACTATGCTAGTATACTGTACAGGCTTTCATCCTCATTGTTCAGCACAGACACAAACTTTGTAATAGATGCATTGTTCATTTTAATATAAGTTATTGTCGAGTTATCAACACCAAACTCACAAGCTAATCTTGAACCACTTGCACAGTTTTTTAGTCAATCTAATATTTTAAGTTTGTCAGATATACTAAGAACAAAACCCCTTTTTGCTGACATTGCTATAGCCTACTGTATCAAAATGCTAGAAAAAAATGCCTCTTCCTTGATAAAAATTATGGTTGATGTTACTATCACAATGTGAGGTTATGTGTATAGATTTGTGATACCTACAAGACAGCACGAGCACTGTTTTGCTGAGTTTTGTGCTAAGCGTTGCGCTGCTTTCCTAACATGGCGTGGCGGTAAATTTGTATTTACCGTGTTTGGCATCAGTTTTGGTTTACCCACGTTTTGGAAGACCGGCATTCGGATAATCGGTGCTCTAATGTAATATACTATTACGAGTACGAGTGTACAAAACTCTTAAAGCACCTCCAGAGACAACATGCATATAGCTGCTTGTTATGTTGCTCAACTTACATCAGTAATATGGTATTCATATTCTACTGACATTTTTTTCAGACATTAAAAGAAGACGATGAGGGGAATGATGAGTCATGGACAGACTCCGAGCGAGAGCTGGCAAAAAATGCATTAGGACTAACTAAGGTAACAAGATAGTGCTTGTTTCAAAATGATTTATGTACTGTATACTAATTTAAATAGTACTAGCTGTGTGCCCGTCCTACGCACGGGGATCTTATAGTAGTCAGTTGAAACCTTCTTATATTAAGATTAAGAACAGCAATTAGTTTGCATATTTGCAGATATGCTGGCAAAACTATTATATATAAACCTTCGCAAATACAGTATCTGACAGTTCAAGCCAAAATAAATGCTTCACAATTAAATGTCACCCGGATCGTTATGGTCCATATGTCCAATGATTAAACTAAAAAATGTTTTATAGATCGGTTAACTTAAACGTATTTAAAGTACTACCTCACCACTTAACACTTTATTCCGGTTGACATTTTCAGTATCAAAGGTGCTCTTGTCCATTCCGTGAAACACTGAGAAATAAGGACATTATGCGTTACCAACAGACATACACACAACAATCCAAAAAAGGCCACGAACTATTGATACATAAACAATATAAAGGCGTAAACAATTCATGATGGTTTGCCCAACAAATGTAGGTTATCATTTTCTTAGCATACCGGGTAAGCTAAGATTTGGAATCCAAACAGAAAAAGCAAAACTTATACAGAGTTAAGACATCACTTAAATTGAATACGGACGGCTCTAATAAATAAGGTGCAACACCAACGATAACTAATTTGTAAACTACAGTGATGTGTTGGTACCTACGTAAAAATGATTCCAGCAGCTACCAACGGTTCTAAGGAAAAGAACCAGTACCTACGTAAGAACCTACCTAAGAACTATAGTACATCCGACCAATTAAATACATTAATATCTAGTCCCGAGGTTATTGATCTCTTGCTTTTGGATTTTCTCCTAAAAAGTTATAGCGTAAACTTATCGGTGTCAGTTTGAAAAACAAACAACTTTACCCAAACAACTTTTTGTTATTTAATAGATTACGCATTCTCTAAACAATGATTAGTATATCTATTAACATTAGAAGGAAATGTGACGAAAATCACACAATGTTGGGGTTCTGGTCATTTGTAATTATATTTCTTAAGTAGGTAGATTCTATGGAAAAGTACCGGTATCAAGGATCGTCGTCAAAAAGGTTGTTATGAATAAATATGTAGGCTTACGTATCCAAGATATGAGCTATGGGCCTATTGGCTGTATGGTCCAGCGATTGCATCACACGGTGAGTAGAAACAGAAAGTGACACATTGGAAAAGCGAGTTTAGCACTTCCTCTGTTAAACCTCTGTTACAATCACCCACTGCAGTTGTGATTTTTTACTTTACACTTTACACAACCGCCATTGAAGCGCCGTCAATGAGTGGAAACCTTTTTTGTAAGCTATTGGCGACGATCATTTCAGTGTCCAGCCCTATACAACACTGATTCAAGGTCTTCTTTCTGGTTGTCAAAACTCAAGAAACATTTTATACTCAAAGAATTTCTGGTTCCGATTTGGACGATGTCTAGTTATTTAATTTCATTTACGGTTATACTATTAGACTATATTATTGCACTTGTGATTAATTAAATTCGTTATGTAAGAAAAACGTTTTTAATCTCACTTGGTTGGGATTTGCTTTCAAAACGTGATTCGAAATGGTTGCGGTATTTGTAAACAACATTTGTAAACATATCATTGACAGCTAGAAAAAATCATCTTGATCCGAACAGCTGTTCGTTATTTTATAGACGATTATGTGATAAAAATTGAACGAAAATTTGACAAAAATCGCACAAAACTGCATTTTTGAACGTCCGTAATTTTATTTACAAAGTAGTGAGGCTATATTTAAATCACTAAAGACACTCTCGCCAATCCAGTGAATACATTAAAATGACTTGGATCTTGATAGGTACTCTGGTTTTCACGGAGAAGATTGCGTAAAATGCCATCTTGTGTGTTACAGACAAAGGGAAAGACAGACAGACAGACAGACAGAAATAGAGATAAGACTCGTTTCTGCTTCTTTAATGTATAAAACGTAAAAATAACCTAAAAGTATATAATTCTGAGCAAAGTACAGACAAAACTCTAATTTTATTTATATAGATTTAATTGTTTTGTTTGGTTATGTTTTTTTTTAGGCCTATGTTTAAAAATTATATTTTTGGCCAAATACACATTACAATGCAGGATATATCAACAAAAACCCACATAGTTACAAATAGAAAAAGACATCTGAGCTTATATTCTTATTATGTGAACATAAAAAGGGTGTGCATTTAATGTGGGAAGAATGAGTGTTGAATGAATTGAGATGACAGCTTTGTTACCAAGATAAGCTGATTTTTATAGCCAGGACTAATATATTAAAGCCCAATTATTACGTACAGCTGGGTCCAGTATTGATCTATCAAACAGTTTTTGACATTTTCAGGATTCAACTTACTACTTTTTCATTACTAGACGAGTACTAACCCCTCAGCTACCCAAGTGTAGAAGATTTTTTAAAACCTGTTGAATTTACAAACTTGTACAAACGTGTATCATTTTCAGGTAACACATGTTTGTGTCAAATGGTTAAGAGATGCAGTAAGAAAGCAAGGATCATTAGCAAGCACGGATGACCTGGATGTCGCGGCCAGCATCGGGTCTACAGTGAGCCCAGCTTTGGACAATTTTGTCTCAGAACTTTACCATCCGGTAGATTTCCCGACAGTTTATGAAATGGTGAGGGTTTTATCAAAAATGGGGTTAGGATCTGTATGTAGTATAGAAAGCTATTTTAGATTGATGTACATTTTAGCTTGGGTCCGAAAGTCAAAAACATTCTTTGGTCAACTGGTTGTGTGGAAAAACGTCAATATTTTTCAGATTAGATTTTTAATGAAATGTTTTTGGCTGGATAAAAAGGTATATTATATGGCTCAAGTTTTAATTTTGTGTTCTAAGTGTGAAGTGCAATTTTTTCTATTGTTAAATTAATATATTTTTAAGCACACTGATTTATATTAGAATAATAATAATAACTAGTGTACATGTTGCTCGATTTCGAGCAATTGCGAAGTATTGTCAATATCTTCAGGGGGCTGTTGGAAAGCACACCTTAACCTAACACAGAAGGGTGCTTGCTGTATTCGGCTATCAACGACAATAGTATTATTTGTATTTTGTTCGCGTCTACCAGTATAAGTTCGTCGGCCTCCTCCTGTTGGCCGTCCTGGTCGACGTCTTATAGTCTCCATTATGTCAAACGTTTTTTTTTGTTACGTTTTCATTTTGTGCAAATAAAACTGGTTTAAAACAGTAAAACATCAATCTTTTCAACTAATCTAATAAATCCTTAAAGCACATGTCTCCAATTTTAGTATAACCAGCTGTTTTAAATATTAGTGTCAATTTCAAAGTATTCATCTGTTCAAATGTAAACAAACATATTCTCCATAAGAATCACATGGGAAGTTTGAAGGCCACTGGAGCAGAGCCCTGATGGAATTCCAAAGTTTTTTTGTTTGATGGCAAAACTACATGCTAAGACCTTTCTAACGACACCTTGGACATGGTGATCGGTAGCACCACCGCTCCAAAAAAATTATGACAAAAATATGCATAGCGTATTAAATATTTACAGTAGATAGATATTTTTGTGTTATCCTATACTCTATGATGAGCAATGTTTGCTTGTATGTATGCTCAAATATCTCTAAAACGGCTTTGACAATATTCTTCATATGTTGTAAATAATTTATTTCTGACCTAAAAACATGATTGACAACTGGCACTACCTCAGGAAAATCTATCATTGGCCTTTTGGGTTGCCAAGTAACTACGTTGGGTGACCTAAATAACAAGGAAAAATTAAACAAAAGACTTGTAAGATGTTTTTATAACCAGCCATCGACAGTATTCCAGCAAATTGTTACAGTATACAGTACAAAGGAAAAACACCAAAACATCAGTTCTAGTTGTTACTATATTGAGCAAAGATTACACTGAATATTACTATATGTAGAGGAAAATAGTTCCGATCAAACACTGATTATTTTTCTTGGCTCTCTCCTAAGAAAACTTAATCCCCAATGTTATGTGGCAATAGCAAACTTTGGTTTAACAGTGAAATGAACTTTTAATAATATTAGTATATATTTATTTGATGCAAATTAGAATTTAGTCAAAAAATTTAAATTGGCTGTTTTAGTTTAAACAAATTGTCAAAACAATGTTTATGTAAGTATAGACTATTATAAACGAGTGATTTTTACCATCAACTGTAAAATAAATAATGTAGTGTGATTGCCAGGTAAATTTTTCATCATAATAAATTGAAAATCCACTAAAACTTAAATAGATTTAGGTCAATCAATACCCTGATGTTTCTTGAATCGAAAAACAGCTTTGTTGTTTTAAATCATTACAATTAATAATTTATTTTCAAATTGACTTCTACATAAGCTCGAAACTTTTGAGAGTCACTAAGAATAGTAAGAATCCACCTCAAAAGATTTATTTAGTAATCAAGCAGTCATATTATATACAAAATCTTTAAAACCTTCTATTTAGGTTATGATTGATTTACAATAATTGTCAACCTCATTGTTTCACACAAACTTTGGTAAGAATATATTTTTTATTGCAGGCAGAAAAACTAGTGCAAGTTTTGCGTTCTTTATTGACGACAATGAAAGGGACCCATTTTGCTGTGGCCTTCAGTTCAGAGAACATAAGCAAGTTGGAACAATTCATCAGCCACAATCACCAGAAAGTTGACCCGAGTGCTGCTGCAGTACCTCAACTTGCTAGTCTATGTCTAAACTCCAGCCATGTCGAGGGGTAAATAAAATCTATTTTGTATAAACGCTTGTAATTTCACCTGCACTCAACCATTTTATCACAGCTTTTTTGGGGATTTATTAGTTTTTTAACAACGGTCCTGCAAGCTTTGGCTATAGAACTAGACATTTTGTTCCTATTTTACATTTGTAGTGTAATTGAGCCCCCGACAAAATGCGCTGATGTAAATTACTGATTTCTCCTAAACACTTTTAAGCGTTTTAAATTAGAATGGTAGCAGATATTGTGTAAAACCATAGCATATGGACTATCCAGACACAATACAGGGCAGCATCAACAAGCTCATTAAACTACTGTATGTCTTATTTAAATAATATATTGGCTAAAGCTGGTCCGTATAGATAGGATGTAAAGTTTACTTCAGTAGTCAAAAGTCAAGGGTAAAATTTAACTTGAGTCACCAATGATTGTAATTTTACTAAGGCCTACTAGTTGTAACTGTAAGCCTTTTTGTTGAAAAGATTTTCTCTTACCAGTAAGGGGAAAAACCAATTGGGTGACCAAAGTTGAATTTTATAATGACCATTGGAACTGAATTTCAGTTCTAAATTAGTTTTAGAATCTTAAACCAGTTTCTTCATCATCAAAGGAAAAGATAAGGACTAATGGTAAAATATAAAAGTTTATATTGAACATTGGAACCAAATTTCAGTCGTAAAAAAGTTAGAAAACAATAACGCAATGATGATCAGAACTTAAATTTGATAATGCAGATTGAATAGCAATTCCAATAATAAAAAAAGGGTACTTTCCTGTTAAAGGGTATATTCATTATTATCGATGGTGTTTTTCTCGATATATCGACATTAACAAATTGATACATATCAGCTGACAAATACGATAAATATTGTCCAGTATCAAAAAACAATCATAAAATGAAACTGTTCTAAAAAAATAACCTAACATAACTAACCAAACTTGCTGTAACATTTAAAAATTCCGTGTTTAACTTTCCTTTTCTATTATCAAACCCAAACGGAATGTTTAAATGGTACAGCAAGTATGGTTGGTTATGTTAGGTTAGCTTAGAACAGTTTCATTTCTTAATCCATATAATAGACTGTTGTAGCCTAAACAAGATCAGTTAGTTGTTGTCAATTTGTAATGGATCGGAAAACAAAAATATCGATACATAAAAAAAAATCATCGATTATAATGAATGTTTCCTTTAACAGGAAAGTACAAAAAAAAAAAAAAAATACTTATAGTTGATCAAACAACTGGGAAATGATAATTTGTTCCCTGTGTGAAAATTGAAAGATAGTGTATCACCTGCTGTGATATATGACATACGAGTAACAGTAACGTTGTCTCCACACCACCTAAGAACAAGGTAATGTTTTTGTGACAACGCCATACAACTTGGAAACCCTTGGATTATAACTATGACAGGTTAGTGGTCAAAACTTTATGACTTGAAATTTTACAATGTGAAAAATCTTATCTATCTTGTTTTACATTTTAGTTAGGCTAATACGTTTGCAAAAGTTGACTTTTATTTTATAACAACATCTAACATCTAACTATGAGGTCATGTTTTGTTGGAACGAAAACCAATTTGGTGGACTTTTAGTTTTGTTTCACAATTATGTTTTCTGTTATTGAAATATACTTTACTGATACAATAAAACTAAAACATTTGAAATCAGGGTAAGGACATTTAAAACAAGTAAACTAACCTAGCTTTTATTGAAGGTAAGAATCCATTCTGTTATATTCCTAACTTAAATTTTTCTTGGTTGACATTTCTATCAGTTGTATTGTGGTTTACGATGGGGAGCGAGCTGGCGTAGTGGTTAGAGCGCGGGACTTCAGTCCCTGAGGTCCCGGGTTCGATCCCCGCCAAGTCACCAATGGATTTTATCTAAGTGATAATGCCGCAACCCCTAGGTCTAGCCTGAAGTAATGTGAAAAACAATCCCAGGCTCGTGCCTAGCGTCCTAGGGAAAAAAAAAAAAAATTGTGGTTTACGATTGTGATCTAAGTATTGTGATTTTTGTGAAAGGTTTTTGAGCTTAAACAAAAACAAAAGTTCTTAAAATATCTATGCCTCATGTTACATTATTAGCTTCCTAATTAATTACTTTGTTTGATATTGGAGGTCTTAAAAATAGATACATATCTTGAAAGCAGAAGCGTAGAAAAAGTACAGTAGATTTTGAAGTCAGTTACTGTTTCACACATATAGGTAAATTATTGTACTGAGTTATAAATTATAATCACTCTCTGTGTACACTGCATGAGAGAGATGATTCATTGAACTATCACATATAAACTGACAGTAAATATGAAGTGATGTAATGGTAAGACCTGAAATTAAACAAATGCTAATAATTTTTCAACAGGCTAATTAATGTTTGGCATTGGTTTTGTTGCTAAAGCTCTAAGGCCATTTCTCACCCTCATCTGTGGGATACTATAATTTATCCGTTCTGTTGAGTCTGTTTACCACAACATGTCCATTTGTAATGTGTTTTTTTTTACCATCGTCAAAATCGTTACCACGATCGAGTGGTAGCAAAAAACACCACCACACCATGTTTTTTTTTGTGTGGAAGGGGAAGTAGGCCTAAGTCCTATTCAGAGACTCCTAAAATATACTTGAACAATCTTAAACACTATAAACACAAGGTATTATGAATTAATTTAATTCTTGGTCCACCTATTTTGATAATGTTTTTCACATTAAAATGCAGTTTCTGGCAAAATAATTTTTTGGTGAGAAATTTTTTTGGTATGGATAAGTTAACACTAGTAAAATGTCTAACCAGAGGAGTAACTATAAATACACAGCCTGTAATTTTCACAAGCTGAGGCAGGTAAACTAGTGAGTTGACCAAGGGATCAGAACCCTCAATCAATGTTGCCATCTCCTGATCTGAGCTTGCTTGGCCATTGATCAGTCTACCACACTAAACTGGTCAAGCAAATCCCAAACAGTTCTATATAGAGACTACAGCTACAGCATATGTCAAGTATGGTTATATTTTTACTGAGAAATTTCCACTTTTCAGTACATAAACATACATTGCTATAGAATTATATTTTCAATCAAAATTACCTTATTTATTTACATTATATTTTTATTTTTGATAGAAGTAAAAGTAAACATTCCATTCCTTGGAATTCATTCACTACTGATCGCCACATATTTGCGACGCTTAAGTAATTGTCACGGCCTGAGGTACATAGACCGGGTGTCACTTGGTTAACAGTACACGCAGACCCCGGGCCAGTAACGCAGCAAAGTAAAAATCAGTTTTGCCCAACTATCCGTTAGTAATCAAATCATCAGTTCCACTGACCAAGTGAAGCACATATGCAACAGATATCCCTGAAGATCGCTGCGGAGAATTCAGGGTCTTCAAATAGACCGTTATGAATGAAAACCACACATGAATGAACAATTTAGTACTAGTGTGGTAGCGAACGTGTTAAGGTAGTTTTATATCTAGTTTTAGAAAGAAAATTAACATGCATGGTTGATTTACTGACAGAGTGTGCTCATGCCATTTCCCTATTTCTGTATTATACACAGACTTTTATCCACACCTTACTAGAAGGTACAACTACTAACTGTTAGCACCTTCCATGTCTATTAAAGCACAAAATTACAACGTATCAAAAATTATTAAGGTCTTAAAAAATTAAAATTATTATTACGTCCAAAGAAAAATAGTAAAGCATCATACACCAAGGGGGAAAATAAAATGTTGACTAGCACATTGAGAGACTACTTCAACATCTACATTATGTGTGCTAGCTAAATTAAGACATTTTGAATGTAGTGAAGTAATAGACACAGGTTCAATCAATTTTAAATTTCAAATTACCTTACTGTTTGGAATAACCAACCATAATTATTGTTTACTAACAATACTGATAAAATCATGACACAACTCTCACATTGCTTAAGTAATTCTACTTACATACAGTGATGAGTTATCTTATCTTATCTAGGCTACATTTCAAATAGTCAAAGATAGTTCCCAAGTTCAGTACTCACAAATTGAATGATACTGATATATCCTCCAGTGGAGCATTTTGATTGTTCCATAGATAAATATTCAAGGAAGTGGAATCAAGTGGTGATTTGGAGTTCTGATAGTTTAAGTAAGTTAAATTAATTTAATAGCCAACATCCTTCCTAGTTGGATAAGTTTGAGGAGATCAAAATCAAATTTTGTGGAGTGCACAAGTGAATTATTAGTTTTTTTTTTTAATTTGGGTGTTTTAAAGTCTTTGGATTTTTTCTGAGGGACCTGCCAAAACCCTGCAGTTTAACTTTGACCTTTTGTTAGACAGATGAATAATAGATAAACATTCCTTCTTGTATTTTTTCCTCACAAATTATTTACAATTTTAATGTAACAGCTCGAATATAGATAAATTAATAATTAAATTACTTTATAACCTGGCTAGAATTTCACTAACATATCCCCTTAAAATTGTCAGATTTATGTCCTTTTTAAAACACTAATTTAATAAGTACTTAGGTTTGCTGCTATAGGAAGGTAATGCTTTTAAGCAGATAATGCTGGGAAAAGGTGTGCTTTAAATAATTTAATTAAAATATTGATAGCTTAGTATGAATTAAAAATTTGCTAAATTTGTTAAAATATATCCGTAAAACAAGTAAACTACTACAGTTTATTTCCTATAAGAATAACATAAGAACTTTGAATTTACACTTTATTAAATTTTCTCCGTAACCTTTAGGTATAAAAAAAACGTTCATATACAAAATTATTTATTTTTTAGCTCTACAAAATGGTTGGGAAATAAATTGCAAAACTTTATTTTAAGAAAAAAAAAAAATGGGAAAACCCAATTTTTACCCCATAAAATAAAACCCCGTTCCCATGACATATGAATCCGAGTCTGATCATGCTGGATCGGGAACTCGAATAAATGTAGGTTTACAAAATTTTGCTCGAGTTACAGATGGTGTTTTTGGGACCTCAAAACAAAAAAATTGG